TGGGAATTGACTGTGACACTTATAATACATCCATGATCGCCAAGTGTGAGGCGTTAATTTGCGGCAACAGGATATGAACCATGTACTCTTAGATTCACATTCGACACGTTAACAACTAGTCATTTTCATTAAACGTTGCATGATCTGAGGCTTAACTTTCTAAACTCGAAAAAAAATTATCGGTTTGAAGTCTAAACTAAAAGTCAAAATAAATATTTTACCAAAAACATAATTCGCAAAAATCCGAAATACATATTGGACAACGCTGGCTCCATGGTAAGTATGAGGGATTATAACGCTAAAAATTGGGTGGAGCAGAGTAGTATAGGTTTACTGTTAACAACACACAAGCTTAGATTATTGAATTATATCTTGAAATATGAAAGAATATTTCAAGATACTAACGACTGCTGTCGAAAAAAAAATCACTTAAAGAATTTTTACAGAAACCGGTTAAATATTTAAGAGCAAAAGTAATGTATTTTGAAAAAAATCTCATACATTACGTGTAATTATTATAAATAATCACTAATGAATTATCTATTGTATTAATCTTTTTACGTTAATTCAGTCCCAAACCACTTGTATGATAGACGTTGGAAACCCCCACGAACATCTCATGACTACCCCAGAAACCATTCGTCTGCACCTCCCAGAGCTAAGGACTATTGTTGGGTTGTTCCCCTTCCCTAATTATGCGGGTGAACACAAATAAGATATACTGGAAATACAACACTGGAAGTTTTGCGTACAAAGGGCCACAATAATATGTCTATTACGTGTCTTTTTTTGAAAGATAATCTTAATACCAAAGTGATTATCTGTGTTGAATGAACATTCGCATCTATGCAGGTGACCAAGATTGGCCAAAATGGCTGAATGAAACATATATATGTTGCTCGTGCTGGCATACGTCAACTAACAAATAACCATTTGCAATATTAATTAATGCTGCTGCCAGTAACTTATGATATAGCTTGTAAACTGTCTTCCATACCGGTGCTCACCTGTTAAGTATAGTGATATATTGATTAATGAAATGAATTTGAGCTATGAAGAAAGAAAACCTGTAGTTATCCTACACCTAGGACGATGAAGTATTGAATTATGATACACCAGAATATATTAAGGTAATTGATGGTATATTTGCAACATCGTAGGCCCATTTTATACAATAGCTTTGATCTTGGCTTGGTAGCTTTAAATGCTAGTCTAAGTATACCTTTTTGTATGACTGTATGTTGTTTGTACATATTAATATTATTTTTACTAACCGATCGATTTAAAACAACAATCACAAAATTGCAGGAATTTCTGTATGAGATCCTCCGAGGGGGATTATCGGGTGTGCTCAGAAGCATTAGCTTCTCTTCACACCTCTGCTGGTGGTGGTGTGTGCTGTACTTGAATTTTTATTGTTTAAGCTAACTTAAAGAAGATTCTTCCAGAACACAAGCTTTCCAACATCACCCCGGGTTACTGTATATGCATACAATCGATGACCATTTGCCAGGGTCACATTCGGTCGATTTACAGGCTCTTTCACACTTTTGTAAATGAGAATGATAGCAAACAGGAGAGAGGCCAATGTACGTGATTGAAAATCTACGGGTAGATGTCGCTACCTCAAAGCAACTAATAATGATTGTGAAGTAATATTTTTTGCAAGTATCACATAAATCTTTCTTCATTAGTAGTTATTTAATATTTACAAAATTTTGTAAAATGTCTAAGTTCTAATTTGAAACATCCTAAATGAGGTTGAGGTTATAGTTTAAATTCAGATTTATTTGTTCAATTTTGTAGCATGATTCAGTTTCATGTGATAAATACAATTTGAAATGGCATTTAACATGGAGTTTATCGAAAAAAAGAAAAGAGTATGCTCACAGCGTTTCACTGAAGTTGTCTGGTTGTTATAAAGTGTAATAAAAACAGATGAATTTAAACGGACAACTCAGTTTGCATGGGACAGTTGTATTGTGTGTGTAGGACTACCTTACGACTGTGACATGAAGCACAGATACTTTTGTGTTCTTGCAATTCTACTTATGATTGATCAGTTATATATATAGAGAGAATGTAGTTTTGGTGCTTTCAGTAAGATTATTAATTTCGGTTTTCAAAAGGGTAAAGTGCTTGGTTTTCTTATATATTCTTTGTTGTATTTTCCGACTGTGTGTAACTCAGTGGTTAGTGTTTTGGATTAGTAATTGACAGGTTACAGGTTCGAATCTCACCAAGTGGTTGTACCCTTGAACAAGACACTTGACCCAATACTTGCTTCGGTTTTCAGCTGTAAATCTGGTACCATCCAATAGCTGGGAAGTTTGCTTACAGTATACAGGCATCCCGTCCAAAGGAAAAGGGAAAACATAGTTATACACTTGTGCCACAGGAAACCCAAGGCTGTTCAGCAAAGACTCTATGACTTGGAAATGATTTAACCAAAGAATTTCCTTTAGTTCAGCATAATAAACTTGAAAACCACATACAATAAATATTGCACTTGTTCTTACATTAACATTCTATCAAACTAAATATTTCAAGCTCTCGTTATGCAGGGCTACTTTATCTGTGTGTCATTTATTCTTGTAAACTAGGAACACACTAATATGTTCTTACCTGAATCTCTTTTGTATTCCATTTTTATAGGTTTAAAATTTTATTTTTCTCTTCAACTTAAACAATAAAGTTCTAAGAATTTTAACGCTAGAAGTCAAGGTTTGATTCCCGCAACAGGCAGCTCATTGTGTAGCTTTGCCCTAAATCATATATCAATACCATAATCTTAACTGTTTTTTTTGCTGAAAATTTATCTTATACAATATTTATTTTATTAATTCAAGTTTCGCTTCTTTCGTACGCTCATTTATTCGAACCCCGGATTTTAGCCTTGAAACAAAATACAATGAGAAAGTTCTGTAAATTTACTTTGTTCAAATGGCCTGTATAATATTGCTGGGTTTTGATCCTAGACATTGAGGCAAAATATCATTTTATCTCTTTTTTTTTTTATAGACGCTATACGAGTTATTTTTAAACAATAAAATCCTCATCAAAATATCCATATTTTCCCTTGAAGGTAAACTGTTTATATTCAAATTAATCATTTTGCAGTCAGCTCTATATTTAATTAATTTTAATTTCTAGTTAAAGTTGTTGTTTGTTATCAAGCACAAAGCTACACAAAGGGTTATCTGTGCTCTGCCCACCACTGGTATCGAAATCCAGTTTCTAGCAGTATAAGTCCGCAGACATACCGCTGTGTCACTGGGGGACTTCTAGTTAAAACCGATTCTATTTGCTGGCTAAAAACAAATACTCTCGGAATGAATATTAATTAAAGAAAATATTTTTGAATCAGTCGTTAAACATGACATTTAAATAAATACAATTTTTACATAAGAGCAATAACACTGCTATTTTGTAGTTAATCGCAAAACTACACAATGGGCTATCTGTTTATGCCCACCACAGGTATCTAAACCCGATTTATAGAGTCATACGACCGCAGATTTACCGCTGTATCAATGGGAGGGCCACAAACTTCTAATACTATTGTATATGTCACCATTTAGATGCTGTTTATTAGACGGTTAAAAAAATAAAATAAAGAG